GGTATTTCATCATTTAGGTATCTCCATTCTAAATCCAATAGGTTTCAATAAACAGATTTTTTTCTGCTTTATCTCTCCCTACCTTGTACACCATTCCCAGTAGCTAGATCTCTTATTCCTTTTGCCTCAGTCTGTAATTTTATGAAATACCCAGAAACTCAACATAAAACATAAGGCCCAGTAATGTTCTACCAACTGATTTTGTTCTCTTCAAGGATCAGAATTCTGTCCCTTTGCCTGCCCCTCCACGTGGTCCCTGATAAAAGATTTCAAGGCCTTCTTTCACAGGAATACTTGGGGTGTCTTGCTGAGCCTTTACTGCTAACTACTTCTCTGGAGTGCCAATTACTACTTATTTCCATACTGTTAAGATAATGGCCTCCACTTACCCTAAAGCTTTTTTTTTTTTTTTTGGCTATTACTTAAGTGAACATAGACCATCTACCTGCATCTTTCTGCAGAAGATGAGAATGAAGTGCTCTGGGCTGAAAAGGAGAAAACTGGCATAAGTCCTATATGTGACATTTACTAAATCTAAATAGGGGATGGGAAAAAAATTGCTTATGATGACTGAGTTTCAGTTTCCTCATAAATAAAAAAGATAAAGTATATTTCTAAAGATTTCAAAAAAGTAAGACTAAAACAAGAGAAAGGATTTTATAAACAGAAAAACAATTGAAATGCAAGACATTTTTATTCCTTTTTTACTGTTCCCTCAGTCCTCAGGATCTTTCTTTTCTGTACAAAGTCCCTTAAGTTTTAATAGAACATTCACACAGCAGGTTTATATTTATAAACCATAGCTGTGTAGTTAAAATATAAGCAAAGAATCCATACATGAAATCCAATTGTTAAAACTATCGTTGTAATTCTATTTACAGCATTCTTAAATATTTATGAGTTTTGTAATATTAAAAGCTGCTAAATAGTTCATTTAGTTCTTCTACTTAACACAAAAGGTTCAAAGAGAACTGCATTAGTAATCACTATGATTAGCAATGCTTTGGATACTAATAAACTATGTGCAAGCCCCAGGTTCAAGGACTGGGCTTCACAGTAGTTCTGAAAATTCTATCAAGTTATATTCATCATATATAAAAGGCAATTTTAGATAACTTGTGTTACAGCATGGTAAATAAATTTTCCGTCTTTGAAATCACACTGTGCAAATGCAAATCCCAGCTCTGCTGATTACCCACTACATGACCTTGAACAAGTTCTTTCCTGTTTCTAAGTCTCAGTTTCCTCACCTATAAAATGAGCAGAATACTACCACCTAGTCCATAGGGTTACTGTGATATTTAACATGTGAACTGCCAAGTAGTGGCTCCATATATGCTTGCTATAGAGTTTTATTGACACCTGAATAATTGTTCTTACAAGTTAAAATCAGATCAGGTCTTTTCTCATTGGTATCCAATAACCATCTAAATAGTTCCTTCCAACTAAGGTTTTAGCTGGTTTTATTTTGGTTCTCTTTTCAATGCCAGGATGGGTGCCCTAAAAGGCAGCACTCAGACACTCATAAAGCTTCCTTTATTTATCACTGACCCTGGCACAAAAGTCTCTTTCAAAAAACAGGACTGTCAGATACTCATCTTTTATATTAGCTTTTTTCTCTTCAGAGTTACATTTTTCTTGCCAAAGAGGTAACTTGTTATAGTTGAGATCATTCAGACTACCTCATAGTAGATAAGGTCATCGCTCTTTTCAGTGATTTTTACAAGAAGACAATGGGAAGTACAAACAACCCTGGAATCTATTCTTATTAAGCTGACACTTCAGGGAGAATGCTAAATGAACATCAAACTCTATTCACATTTTCTGCTTCCCTCATTCCAGATAGCAACTGACAACTTGCCCTGTCATGATAAGCTCCTCACTAGCCAAACACTTGGCAAGAGAACATCAATATTAAAGCTGCCAGATTTAATAATAAGCATTTGCACTGCTGTTAAAGGTATTTTAGTAATATAATTGGGTAGCTTCTGCTCCTTTAACAAAAAGCTAAACTTATTCTACTGACACGCCTTAATTTTATGACATATTTGAGATTTGTGTCCAATGTTAGGAGAAGACTAGGTGAAATTATAGGACCTATATCTAGGTATAATAATCCCATACTGTTACTCAGCTTACACCTTTAATTATATCATTGAAATTACTCTGCTAAGCTGTTCCTTTCTCTATTCTGTAGATAACCTCTGTATTTTTCTTCTTTAAAACAAAAAGAATAACACGATAATCTTTTAGATCCTCTCTGATTCCAATTATATATAATTCTAGGGACATCTTTTATCCTAACTGGATATTCAGGCATAAATACTAGAATGAAGGAAGGGAATGGAAAGAAAGGTATGATAATGAATACCCCAGAAATAAAAGATAGCACAGACACTTCTGTGAGCTACCTGAAAAGGGTAGCTGAAAAGATCGGTTTGGCACCATTTGTTTTTCATTTCAGACCACGGACAAGAAGAATGATATCTTTATGACAGTTTCTAGCTTCCTCAATATCTGTTCATGATTGTTTTGGAATGCCTATCAGCACCTTGTAGTGATGATCACTAAAGCCTTTGAAAAGAAAAAGAATTGTGTGTTGGTTGATGGTATGTAATGAGCTGAGACCCAGGAAAGAATTAGTAGGAGATTATGTCTGTTCTACTCTGAATTCCAGAGACAGAAGATCTCACAGACTATGGCAGATCTGTGGTGAAGGAAGTGGGCTGGCTTAGTTCTTTTAATAATTTGCTTCCAACCAGGCAAAGCACTCCAGCCACTAGTCAAATAGAGCAGCACGGTAACACAGGACAATTTGCAAAACAATTTTCTGCTAACGTCCATTCACCTCCCAGTTTCCAGCTCCATCTCAGCTTCCAACCCTCAGCCCTTCTCTCTCCCTTCCTCAGGCTAGCCCCTCTAGCCTGATTCACTAAACATCTTGTTTTCTGCATAAATTCATCTCCCTCTTCTCCTGATCACACAAGAAATACCTCTATTTTCTGGATTCCTGGAAACAATAGAAGGAATTAAGGAAGGCAGAAGAATTGCAGATCCTGGCTGTAGAAGGAAGCTAGAGCTTAGCTAGAAGGAGGCCCAGTGATTTATCTGATATCTCCAAAAGAAAAAAAAATTCATATGTAAATTGGATGATTTGTCTATGTAACATCTGTCAGGTGTTTTTTCCATATGACTGACCTTTAAAAACAGAATGTTTGGCATCATTGATATGGATATAGCATTGGAATTAAAAGCAGGACTCTGATGCTGTACTGTCCAATAAGGAGGCCACATGTGGCTCCTAAGCACTTAGAGGTGGCTGGTCCCAGCTGAGGTGTGCCATAAGTGTAAAATGCACACTCAATTTCAAAGACGGTACAAAAAAAGGAGAAAAAAACCGACTGTAAGTTTCATGAATAATTTTTATATTATGTGTTGAAATGGTGATATTTTGGGTACCCTGAGTTAAATTAAATATTTTAAAATTAGTTTTATATGTTTCCTTTTACTTTTTTAAATCTGGAAGAAAATTTAAAATTACACATGCATCTTTCATTATGTTTCTATTGCACAATACTGCTGTAGAGCCTGCTGCTGAACTTCATACGTGGCTCTAGTACATACAAGCTGTGATTTTCAGGCAGGCTGACTAATTTTCTCTTCTGTGAAATGGGAACAATAATTCCTGCTTCCTAAGGTGCTTCTTTGTATCCTTGCATCAGCAAGTCAATGAACACAAGCTGTCCCTTGGAATAGGGCGTGGCCTTGAGCAGGCAGTATTCTTTAGCCCAGCAATCCCCAAAGAGATGCTCCACTGAGAGCCAAGCTGCCACTGCTTTCAGCAGCTGCAGGAATGAACGAGTGCCTCTCTGGACAGTGCGTGATGGCACCCATGGCCCACTTTGTCTGCACAATGGGCAGTGCATGTTTAAAACACAATTCTTCCTGAAAAATAACTAGACAAAAAAGATGAAGATACTTATCTTTGTATTTGATATGGCAGATATGAAACACTGAATATATCTAGTAGCTGGATATAAACTAATTATTGAAATAAGATATATGAAAGACAAATGACAATAGTAGACAACACACATTAAACACCTAATGAACGACATGGGCAACGCTTCAGAAAAGGTAGAATCACGAGGACTCAATAAATTGAAGGTTTATAAAGGAGGTATTCCAAGCAGAGAAGCAAAATGCATAATGTACAAAGATGTGAATCAAGGTGGCATGCTTTCAGGGCACACATAGACCAGTTTGGCTTGGGAGAAGTTTCCTATAGCAAGATAAAGGAAATAAAACTAAAAGCATAAATAGGAAGCAGAAGGCAGGAGAGGGAATACTACTTTAACTTAGGGTTCTAGGGAGGTAGGGTGATAACTGCCCAAAGCTAATTTGGGAAGATCAGTTTGGCAGACTATACCCAACACTCTGACTCCTCTGGGACTCTGCATCCTTTGCAAAACCATGCTTTTCTATTTATTTTTACCCTATACATATGATACCTTTCCAGTTTTATCAGTAATTGGCCCTTCAATTATCCCAAGATGGGATATCCCCTCTTTGGGATAGGGCTTTGCTTCAGACTATCACATATGAATAATAATCAGAAACACTACTAATTACCATTTACTGTTGAGAGAGGCAAGCTAACAGATCTCATGTGGAAAGACTGGTAATATGTGACAAAATGGTTATCAGATGTTTTTAAAGTTGCATTAAAATGTCCCGGTATGACAAAAAGCATTAGGAAGCCATGCAGGGCTGATAAATTGTAATATGGAACCTAAGAATCTCTTCCTGGGCACTGAAAAGAAAGGTATAAATGAATAAAGCTTCACTTCTTACGTAACTTGTTCAATCTTTTTCTAACCGTAAAGAACAAAACAAACTTTAATTAGCAAAAATGATACTTTGCTTAAAATGCTACAAATCCACAATCTCTTTATCCTATAATGGGGGTCTGTTTGTGTGTTTGCTATTGGTTTCCTCAGACTCAGATTAGTCCCAAAGAAGGGTGGCAAGTGTACAGCTCCGCACAGGATCCTGACGGACGATGCATATGCACAGTGGTTGCTCCAGAACAAAACCTGTGTTCCCGGGATGCCAAAAGCAGGCAACTTCGCCAACTGCTGGAAAAGGTAGGTGTCTTATGTGCCCTGTGCATATTGTATTGAAATTTACCATTCTTGAAAAGGAAATATAGAAAAACAGGAAATGGAGAGCAGGGGCCTTCCCATTTTTGTCCCCCTTCTCAAGCAAACTTCCCCCCCTTCCTTAGAAGGAGTACCTGAGGCGTTCTGCTCTGTTGGTTCTATTTATATAACTTTTTTAGTTTTCTCAGCCTTGCCTTCAAGACTGGCTCTCTACTGTGTATCTTCACAAAAAGTCAATCTCTCCTTAAAAAAAAAAAAAGCACAGTCTTCCTCCAAGACAGAAATCTAGCCACAACTCTCAGGATCACACTAGGCTCTTTGAGTTCATACTTTTGGATCCCATTAAAAACCTTGCAAGGAAGTTAAAATAAAGACATGCAATATGCAAGCTATCTAGACAGAAAATGAGCAATTTCAAGTATTTATCATCATTCTCTAAGTCATTCCTTTGAACAGTAAGCTCTTCAACTTCATTCAATAGCATTCTCTCTGTATAATTTACTTGAGCTGGATCCATAACAATCAAATGCAGAATGCCCTTGATTTGTTCTCTTTTACAGAGAAAAGTCAGCTCATGAAAGGTTATTTATGTTTAGTTTGTGGTAAAAAAAAAAGAAAAGAAAACAATAAATGGTTCTTTCAATTATTCTCATTCAGACTTTCACTGTGTTGGGTTCTGAATATAGTGGGACAGCTGGGGTGGCCAGAGTGAAGGAAAGATGACAACATGTTTGGATTTTAAAAACCTCCAGGAATAATAAGATAAAGTAGGTATTATGTATTTTTAGAGGATATAACGCTCAACAATTCACTCTGTGCAATATCATTTCCATGATCATCCACACAATTATGGCACTGAATAGGAATTTTTTACAGAAAATTTGAGAGAAACTAGAAAAACAAAAGCATTGAATTTGTTAATGCAGACACTCCTAGTTTATGCCATGTTAAGCCTAACCACAGTAACTTTCTTCAGTGCCATATAATGAAAATAAGTTTCCTCTGAGTACATTATCTGGAAGCCTACTGATGCTCTAAGATATTAAGATGACTTCTTTCATGTTTTTATACAAACATTAGTCTGTTTTTCCTCCCCCTCTCCTCTTGAGTCTCTTTATATAATAAGATCCCATTTTCCCTGCTTTGTCAATATCTGCCCCCCAGACAAAAGCAAATGTCATTTTCATTCAAGTGAATGACTCTAGCTTATGTGCCTCTCAACTATTATAAGTCATGACATATGGACTATGATTATTCTTGGGCATTGTTTTCTAATGTTGATTTTATTTCTGTGAAAAAAATTCAAATACATAGTGTAATATTGTTTGGTTACTAGGGAAATTAATTTTATTGGTAAAAAGACTTAAATTTTCAAATCCCAATTTGGCTTTTCTATTAAATTGTATTTCCTCTCAGATTACTGATTTTCTGCTCCAAACTTGTATTCTATTCAAAAAATATGTATTTTCTATATCAACTATGGTGAGAAACATTTTCTTAGACACCATACCTGATTTTGTTACTATTTTTCAGTATGGCAATGCATACACACACACAGACTCAGACATTTCTTCAAAAATCCGTTGAAAAAAGTTCAAATAAAATATGAATGTTAGGAAGTGGATAATAACTTGTATAGGTCCAAAGTAACTGTAATACAGCACTATGTTAAAATCAGAAATAAGTGAAGGATGACTAAGGAAAAAAAGAAACATATAACCAAGGAGTTGATTGAAAGCATTGTTGAAATTGATATGGCCAGTCTATCCAATATACAATGTGTTTAATGTTTTAAAAAATTTCTAGAAAATCACACCTTTAAAAATTCACCAGAATCTAAATGACAAACAATAAATAAAATTTATTAACAAAATCAAGGTCACCACAAGTTAGACTTGTCAAATTTAGCATTTGGTAGTATTCTGCCAACAGAGGATAGTAAATTATGTGCAATGTAGGGAGTAACACTGGTTTGCTGTAATTACCCAGAGAAAAGGTATCTGAAACAAGCGCTCCTTATTCAGACTGAGCCAGTCCCTTGCTGCCTTCTCTGTTGTTTCATGTATATCAAGTTACCAAAAGGCAAACAGAGCATGACCGCTAAGCAGCCCATTTAACCATTAACCAAAGAATCAATTTAGTCATATAACTAGGGAATGTAAAGAAGGGTAATATTAATAACAATAATTCCCATGTATTATATTTTTTCTCATTCCATTAAATCAGCAGAGATAGTTATACTTCTAAGTTTGCATAAAAGGAAACTATGCTTTCTGAAATTAAAAACCCTACCAATGTCACTTAGCCAGTAGACTGTGAAGCTATACCAGATCAGTTTTGCATTTTCTCAACACCATGCCAGTGTCATCCAGAATGCCACTGGGGGTACCTATGCATATTTAAGTGATACTCTATCAAACAGTTTTAAGAAGTATTTATATTACTGAATATTAGAAAAATAACAATTGGTTTAACAGTATTTCACATCTTAGAATGCCCAAACTAAAATTGTCCACTTAAAAAGATATTTGTTAGCTATGCAGCTTTTTTGAACAGGTGAAGATGCACTGCACTGTATAGATCAATATTTCCTGAAGTGTGGTTTTTGAAACAGGATATTGGTGACATCTCCCTGAAAAATAATTATAATAAACATTGTACATAATAACTCATTCTTGATTTCCATCACACAGTTTACTATTATAGGTTCTGTGTAGACAAGCAACGAAATCTCTATTTTTTCTATACCCAGGTCATCCTGACATATTAAACCATAGGACTCTTTTTTTTTTAAGTAGCCTCCACACAAATTATGAATAAGCGTGAAGACCTAAATTAATTTGTGTTTAAGTTCAGAATGGCCTCAGATATTTTTATTTATACAGAAAACCAGGATAAATAATGAATTCAAAGAACTATCAATGAAAGGGTCAATGAGCTTGCCAAATTATGTAGAGAGAGTCTAAACACAGGGACATGTCTGGAAAGCTGAATTTCAGAACATCAACGACAAGCAGACTAAAAGAGGAACCAGACCAGATGGCTCCTTTTCCCAGGAGTGTAATCATGGGGATCCAGTCTCAGGATCATCAGAAAACTGAAGCTCAGTAGATCTCCAAACCAGTGGGAAACTAAACAACCCTTGATACAGCCAGCCAGAAAAGCAAAAGGCAATCCAGAACCCAATCTTTTCCAATTAGCTCCATTTCTAGCCATTACCCCAAATATCTCTCTCAGAATTATGTATGAGGCTACAACATAGACAGTCACAATCAAGTCTCAGCAAAAATTCTCTCAGTGCATTTTCTCACAACACAAATAAAAAGTTGAAAATTAACATGATAAGGTAGGTCAGATGCAAAATAAAAGACTGTTCTAACTTCATCCAGAATATCTCATTTGCTTATCATTCTCTAATTGTATGGATTCTGCCTATGAACACAGAATTTCTAGAAGACTGGCCATCCAATGATGGGTGTCTTTAGAGACAAATGCCATATTCAAAGTTGTAGATAGTTTATTTAACACAAATAGTTTCTCTGTATTCATGCTTAACCATAATGGAATTGAAAATTATTCTGAAAGCATAGTATTTATCCAAGATATAGCTACCATGCTTTCAATGCTGTCTCATTAATTTTGTCCTGCACTAAAGATATTTTTTCTTTTAATGAAGCTTTCTGAATGTAGGACTGATAGTGAATTAAGAAATATTTGGGAGTCATGAAATGTTATAGCTTAGCCTACAGTGATAGGAGGAGGAAATTTTCCTCAACATAATTAAAATATTAATTACCTATTACTACTATTGGAGGCCTAACATAATTTTACCCGACAGATATTTACTGAGCAATTATTCTGTGCCTAGTTCTGTGTAAGGCCTTGGAAATACATGATGTGAGTAAGATACAGCTCTAACCAAATGGAGCTCAGAGATGGTCGGTCACTTCTCTGCTTCCATCCAACATACACATTACACAATTAATTTTAATACAAGCCAGGCTGTACTATGTCCTGAAAAAAAGAGATTCATAAAGGGCAGGACAAAAGAAAAAGAGATAGGAAAATATGACCTTCTCGGACAAAAAGAAGAGGAATTGAGGCAAGCCAAGGCAGAATTCACAGCCTTTTCTGAATGTGCCAGTTCTGCGAGACATATCAAAAATGTTTTTTGGCTCTTTATAGCTGTTTATAGCTGCTAAAATTTGTGATTTTACCTGATGAAAAAATTTGTCTTTGAACAAATCATCCCTTTCTTATTTTTAATGCACAATTTTTGCAATCAAAATAGTTTTTTATTACATAAACATGTTTATGGAATAACACATCAAATTATATGAAACAAAACTCACCTCTAATTTCACCACCATTGTTTTGGTGTCCAAGCATTCATGTATTCATTTATGCAAATAAAACATATAAATTCTATGCAGATGGATTTATATATCATCTACTTACGAGGGATCCCTTTCTACAATGTTTATTTTCTTAGTTCTCTTATCATCCACATCTCACCCCTACAGGAAAACTGTTAACAACCTTATTATGTGTTCTTCTGATTCTTCCATAACTTTCTCCACAACTTATATTCCATTGTCTTTTATATGTATGTGACTGAGTGACAGAAGGAGAGAAAGAATGAGAGAAGGAAAAAGAGTGAGATAACATTTGATTTTGAATAAAAGAATGAAATCATATAAAGATCTTTTACATTTGCTTTTCTCATAGAAATTCCTCCATGTTGAACAGTGTTTCTCAAGATTTAATAAACATAGGAATCTTTGGAGGAACCTTAACAAAATGCACTCTGACTCAGTAGATCTGGGGAGGATGCTAAGATGCTGCATTTCTGACAAGCTCCTAGGTGATGTCAAATTTGTTGCTCTGCAGACAATACTTTGAGTGCCAAAGGTATAGGACATCTACCTTATTCTTTAAAAGAGGGTATTCATCTTCCATTCCTCAATTCATTTAAAAACTCTCCTACTATTAAAGGCTTTCACTTTGTTTCCAGGTATTTGCTGCCACAAAAAATTAAAGTAGTCTTTCTTTCCTCATTTCTACAGGTTTTACAGGTCACCTATTGCCTACATCTAAATAGCCTGGGGCTCAATAAACTTGGGATGACACCATCAGCTTTACAAGTATTTATTGCCTATTTACCAAACACTTGATACAGTTGCCATTTTCCAGGTCTCTTAAACAGTGTGCTGAGTTAGGATGCGTCCCAGCACTACCACCACTCCTCTTAGCCAATTCGATCTCACCCCTGGGAGTTCTTAAGATGCAACTTGAAGTAACTACACTGTAATGCATGTATTCTAGGTCTGTGTGACAACACCTCACTACCATCCAATCCACGATTGCTAAGCATCTTGAGGAAATTAGATTTAGTATTTATAGAAACAACTTATTTTATCATTTAACAGATTGGGGCATTTATAAGTTTATAAAGCCCTGAAATGAAAATCCTATTTAAAAAATTCATTTTTCTGACATACTAAATTCTTATTTACATCTATCTCTAATGCTAGAATGTCCATTTTATTATTTCCTGCCTAGGTTTAATTTTCCTTTGTGTATTTTTTGAATACTTATCATGAAGAATTGTCCTTCTGAAATTGTCATGTGTTAATGCAATTATGGATTTGGCACTTCCAGTTCTTTACATTAATGTTATTTTTGCTACTTCAGTAGTGATTGCGTATACCTGTAAACAGACAATAACTTATGGCCAATGTTCTTCTTTAACAGGTTCAGAACATGTCCCAGTCTATTGAAGTCTTAAACTTGAGAACTCAGAGAGATTTTCAGTATGTTCTAAAAATGGAAACCCAAATGAAAGGGCTGAAAACCAAGTTTCGGCAGATTGAAGATGATCGAAAAACACTCATGACCAAGCATTTTCAAGTAGGTTCAACTTCTGCAGTCTTATCAACCCAAATGAGACAGTGAGGGCAAGAAATAACTGTGCATTGGCCCATGCATGCAAGGTTAAAGACTCACTGGGGGCATCAATCACCTCTCTACCGTTAACTGATATGAATGCATAGAAAGCTTGCTATAAAAAGAGCCTCATCCTCCTAGAGCTTGGAGTTTCTGGACAGATTTACAGCACTTCCATATCTATGACAAGGGGAAATCTCAAAGAAAATTAATAATTAAATTTATCAAAATTTTTCTAATGATTTTATGCCCTGCTAATATTGGGAGAAATATACAGAATATAACTTTTTAAAAGAGGTGATTATACCATTTTAATAGCATATTAAAAATGGTTATTTCATAATTTGATGTAAAGTCTTTAGATTTTAAGTTGTTTTTTGGCAATTATCTAGAAACTTAAAATAGAGAAATAATGCTTTTAAGCATGTTGTGGACTTTTATTAACTATGTATGACAGTGCCATAGATGAAAAAAACAAATATGACCACAATAATACCATTTCAGCCTCTACTGAAAAGAAATATTCTTACAATGGCATAGCACATAATTTATATAACACACTGTGGTTTTATAAGCAGAGGTTTTAATAGCCTCTGCTTTCCTTGCCAATTAGTAAGTGAGATTCACTGTGATGGTAAGGGACTGAAACCAAATTCAAGCTCTGGGGCAAGCAAAGTGCTCTTTACACATAATGGTGATGGACAGGGAGCTAGTCAGGGACATGCAACAGGATCTCTGCATAGCGCATTTTAATGTGGCAGAAATTTCCATGATTTTCTAATTTTCTTCAGTGATGCTCCAAATCCTTAGTGGAAAGACACAGAAAACAGTACTGCACTGAACCAGTTTTAAAGTTTTACCAGGAAGGCACACAATAGTAACAGAGGGTAATTAAGTTGGGGTTATTCAAAAGAGAGGAGGCTGAAGTGATGAATCATGAAGTTTAATTTGAAGGGAGAAATAAGCAAAACCAAAGAGGTTAAGAAATTAGAGCAAATTAGAGTAAGGCCTAAAAGATGTAATAAATTTAAGTATCACTGGACATAAGAGAATGAGTGCACTGGACAAATAGATAATTTATGTGGAAATGGTAAAGAGAAGAATATAAAGCAGAGGAGCAAGTGAATGAATTTCCATTAGTGTTTATTGAGCATGTCCTGCATGTAAGGCAGTGGTGGACCCTCTGCTGAATACGTAATGCATCATATCTCTTCTGTGAAAGACAACTAACAAACAGGCAGGCAAAACTGATGGTAAGTAGAGGCATAAACATCATTCAACAGAACAAAAGGCTGATTAATTTTGTTTAATATTGTTTAGAGAAGATCAGGAGAAGAATCAGAAGATTTGGCAATATTCAAAAAAGCAATTTTGGACTAGTCCCCAAATACTAAATCACAGAGGAGATCAAGAAAACCAAAAGGTTTTCAATGTCAATTCTCAATGTTCAGGGTTAGAGTATAAACTGTGCATGTGGAGCAGTACTGTGAGCCTAAGGCTGAGGCCAACATAGTAAGAAATGGTGAACTGACACTTAGGGCACAGGGTAGCATCCCCAGAAAGAAAGGTGGACAGGAGAGGAGCTCCGGCTGTCTGGCTCAAAGTGAAAACTACTCAAGCTCAGATGGACAGTGCAGAACTCGGTGACACCAAGCAACAGCCTGAGAGTGCCAAGGCTGGGGACACACGATGAAGCACCTGCGTCTCCAGGAACTTCTGGGGCAGCAAAAAGATACAAAGCAGAAAGAAACACAAGAAATAGTCTGTCTATTCTATAAATTTGCCTAGCAGCAACCAGGCCACCAATAAGAAAACTTAATTTTCAGGCAGTACCATATAACATGATTTTGATTTTTCTCATTCATGTAATCCAAGTAGATCCTGAAGTTTTATGCCAAAATCCAAACAGCAATGATGATTATTTTTCTGAGAAATTACCCATATTCAACACATAGTTCCAAGCACCTTAAATATATTATATATTAACTAATTTAATCCTCACAGCAATCATTTAAGGTAGGCACTACTTTTATCCCCATAATTCAGAAGAGACTGATGTAATCAGTCTATAGTAAAACATCTGACATGTATCAGAACCACCAAGTCCAGCTTCAGAGTTAAGCCTAAGACCAAAGCCACACTGACTCTCCAAGTAGACTATGTATAGCTCTGATTTAAATTTAAGAAAAATTTAGATGCTCAGTATGTTTTTTGAATTTCTTCATTCATTCCTACTATGAGTCACATTTTGCTTGAGGTACTGTACTTTGAAAAAAAGAAATGGAACATTCCAGAAATAAGTTTAACATACAAGAATACTTTTTTTAAGTGTTTTTTATTGAGGTATAGTTGATATACAGTATTACATTGGTTTCAAGTATACAACACAGTGGTTCAACAGTTACATTAATAAATCCTCACCCCAACTAATGCAGTTACTGTCAACATAAAAATATTACAGAACCACTGACTATGTTCTCTATGCTGCACTTCCATCCCCGTGACCAACTTATATTATGACTGAGATTTTTATACTTCTTTATCACCCTCTTTCACCCCAGCCACCCACCCCAACTCCTCCCCCATGGTAACCACCAGTCACTTCTCAATGTCTATGAGTCTATGGCTGTTGTGTTCATTTTAATTTAAATTGGAAGAAATCTTCTAGTACACCATTTTCAACTTAATCAAAAAATACTGAGGAGGTTTTGTCTTCTACACTCTTCAAGATGAAAAGCTTGCTCCAGTTATCATATTTGCATCTCTCATTTTTCTGTGAAGAAATCATGACTGGGCAAGATAGTCAGCTACAACCATTGTAGTCAGCTACAACATAGTAGAAAGTGAAATTCTAAAAGGGATTAATAAGCAGAGATCTCAGCTAGTCTACTTTAACCTTTTAAGTATTTGATTGTATATTGGTTGGACTTTCCACTGCTCTCTGACAAGTATTCAGTCTCAAAACTGACTGCCAATAATCAAATTAGGAATTTTTATGAAAATATCCAAAACCATAAATACTTTTTTTTCAGTTCAGGGGAAAAACCACCACCAGAATTGTGACACTGAATTACTCTTTTCAATATTCCCACAGTAGAATGTAAAGCTTCTCACTGTAACTGTTGCTATAAAATTCAGCAAATGGTGTCAACAGAAGTCTTATAAAATTTCTAATGATGGGACTGTGTCTTCTTTTAGGGATGCCACAAGTTGCTCAAACTACCAAGTTTATTTCAAAATGAGCCACCAAAATTAACAAAGCAAGGCAATTCTTTTGACTGTGATACTTATGAATCTTTCTCATTATTAGGACTCTCTTTCCCCTCCCACTCAACATGGACATATAAACAAATTCAAAGAATTCCAAACTTATCCAGCAAGTGGAGATTTCCCCACAAAAAACATAAGCCCATAAGTCAGGGCAGCAATGGGAGCTCCTAATATTTTAATACATTTATAGGAATAACATCTTCTAAATTTAATTTCTAAATAGATATTTTCAGCTCCTTAAGTTAGTGTAAAACATGGTTTCTGATAGCACCTATGGATTATTCTTAAATGATCAGAACAGTGGCAGCTATTTCACAAATGAGATCATCTGCAATAAACTCACAACTGAATCAAACTCATGAAATATTTTCACTGACCACCACCACCAAAATGAAGGAAAAGAAGAAAAGGTAACATGTCTAGAAACTTAAAGCACTACTGTGGGTATATGGCTTGGTTCCATGATGCTAGGAGAGAGGGACACGGTGTTGGCCACATATGCTTCTTGTTCACAAGATAAAAAACAGTGTTTCAGTTTCAAACAACTCTGTGCAACTAGCTCTCTTATTATATAAACTATGAGCTCCTTAGTCGCTGAAAAAGTTAATTCACTTCATGGGTATATAATTCTGCCTTACACAAAGAGCTGTAAATTATGCTAAGGCAAATGGAGTCAGTATGGTAATAATTCAGAAATGGCAAACATCAACATTTATTTCTTCAAGAAGCTTTGCATGATTTATTATGCTTGCTGAACTTACCTTCCTAATTATGCTGTGCTAAGATGGACATTAAAGAGTGTAAGGAATACCTGAGCACAATGGAAGGACAGAGTGCTAGAAGGCCATAGCTGGAAAAATTCTAAGTGTTAAGGAAGAGCTGTTCCAGGATCCAAAATTCCCTGTACATACCCCTATAACATAAATAATCAGTACATAGATAATTAGACTTTACTAAACAGGAATAGAATATTTGGCCTAATTCTAATAATTCATAGTTAAAAGATGAAGCCTACTTATATTTCCTAAATAAGTAATGCATTGTTTATAAAGTGCTACCAGAAAGTGAAATAATGTATAAACTCATAACTACTACCACAGGAAGTTTGTAATTTTGATAAGGATCAATTTATTTTATAAAAAATCATGTAACCATGTAAAGAGACATTTTTGTATTGAAAAAAATGAGAAAAGTGGATTAACTACTGATGATCACTTGGCCACTTACATTCTCACAAAATACCTAATTTCAACCAGAAATCAGTAAGGAATATTTATATAAAAGTATCAAAGCATTATGTTGTATGCTTGAAATTAATGTTATATGCCAATTATATCTCAACAGAAAAAATTTTAATTTAAAGAAAAGGAAACGTTGAGTTTGTTTAAATAATCTCCTTTAAATATCTATTTTAAAAAATGTAGCTGCTTGGTCTGTTTAAATGACGCTCAGGAACAACTGGTTGCTTTTCACAGGAGCTGAAAGAGAAAATGGACGAGCTCCTGCCCTTGATCCCCGTGTTGGAGCAGTACAAAACAGATGCCAAGTTAATCACCCAGTTCAAGGAAGAAATCCGGAATCTGTCTGCCGTCCTCACTGGGATTCAAGAAGAAATCGGTGCCTATGACTACGAGGAACTACATCAAAGGGTGCTTAGCTTGGAAACCAGACTTCGTGACTGCATGAAAAAGCTGAGTGAGTAGAAAATTTCATTTATCTAACTTGGTTTGTAAATGGTTTCTATTAAAACTGCATCCTTACATTTTGCAAATAGTCCTAAGAACCTAATTTTAGAAAAAGCAGTGCCTGCTTTCTAAGTATAAAGTAAGTATCTCTTAGTGACTTAGCATACTTGGGTACTCAGTGTTATTTGATTAATAGTTGCCTAATTTTCTAAGCAACCTTTTACCATTTGGTGACTTGGAATAATACAGGCAATTCTATTGGCTACACTACTTGAAATAAGTTTTATTGCAGAGAGATAATATGTGATAGTAAATCATAGCTGGGCTAGGGGAGAGGAGATGCCATTTTGTTAATGGAGAAAGTTAGAGGCTGGGGAGCAGAAAGTTACCCTGGGACCAAATGTTAAACAGTAATGATTAAGTCAAACCAAAACAATGCAGAGCAGCTCCGACCCACTCAAAAAATAAAAAGGAGGCATGTACTCAAATAGATACTCACTACTAGATATAGTAGATATTGAAGGGGCCAAGCATATGACATGGGTTACGGACTCAAGTCCAAAATGGACTCAAGTCTTGACTCCAAATATGTGTGGCTGAACCGAGTCTGAGTTTACAAACTCTTCCATTGCGATCACGAGGTAATTATTCAATCGAAGTCATCACAGGACTAGTCTGTAACTATGCAAGGTAAGTAAGTGGTCGCAAATTGAATTGAATAAGGAGGAGTTTCAAGTCCACTAAGGAACAGTGGACTTGTTGACATGATGTGACATGACAGGGAAGGCAACTCAACAGACATGAAAAGTGTTCTCTTAAAGTAAAGAAAAACTTTTCTGGAATAAGAAATAAGCTGGAAAGAGGAGTAAAACTTGAAATATCCTATTCCTGTTTAGCAAAGTCTAATTGAAAAACTCAATTTCTAGTAAGGAAAACTCCAGAGAATAAATGTAAACATTTAAAATAAAAGTTGAGTGGCTTACAAGAATATTTTAAAGACTACTTATTTTACAAATGCAATTCAAATGAAAAAGAGATAAAATAACAAAAAGTTGCATCTGGCAATCACAGCCTCAAAGCAGTTTAGGGACTCACCACAACAGAGGCCCCACTACAGTCATCCCAGGATTTCCAAAAGAATACAACAAAATTAATCAGAAGGCAATAAACTGAAAGCTAAGGCTAAATGCATTCACAGGAATCCTCAGCTCCTTATTCCTCATCAGGCAAGATTCACACTTCTTCATTTATAACTGGTCTCCCAACAATCATGACTCCAGTAAATGCTATAACTCCCATTCTTGCTTCTCCCCACCATTGTCTGAAATATTGGAAATGGGATTTTTTTAAGTATAAATCTGAAATTATTTTGCTCTGCTCAAAATCTCCTATGAATCCCTTATATCCTAGGATACAATCCATGGCTTATGAAGCCCTTCATGTGTGGCTCTCCCTACTTCTCCTGTGTGAGGTCCTGTCACTTCTCCCCTCACATATCATGTCCCAGTCATGTGTGTGCTACACTCTCTTATCACAGGGCTACATTGAGGCACTGTTTGTTCCTTCTCCTGAAACACTCTTTCCCTTTTGTCCTTTCTCTATCAACACACATTCACCTGTCCCATGGCACAAACCCCTATTCATTCTTCACATCTCAGTTTAAATGTCATGCCTTGCCAGAATCTTTCATTTCCCTTCCTATGTTTTCCCATACCCCTACGTGTCCCTGGTAGGTGCTCCCAAACTGTGATATTTCACCAATGATTGGACTTTCATGCTTATCTCTGTATATGTAATTGGATGTCTCTCTTCCTAGATTTTTGTGCCATGAGAAAAAAGACAATGTCTATGATGTTCACTCTAAATCTTTTATCTCCCAATTTCTAGAAAACTGCCTGACAAAGAAGTTATGCAATGAATATTTGCTAAATAAAATAATTCTTTAAGGAGTATAGTAACAATTTCTAAACCCTCAACAGAGTAAATATTAGCTATTTCAAGTGGCAAGGAACAATCTTTGACTTCTTAAGAAAAACGCTCTTTTAGCCACGTATTTGTGTCAGGATGGCATAGGATCAATTAAGACTAAGAAAAGGAAATGTTATTTGATACAGCACTTAAATAATTCCTTATATGTTTTTCTTTTATAATTAAAGTTGTGCAGTTTATTGCTAATATACAATAGGTAAATATTACCAATTAAATAAATTCTGCTGTTATATATTTTTATCAGTAAGTACCTTTACAATTCAATACATAATTGAATAAATGATGTTTCCACCAAGCAAGAAGAAAATCTCAAACCAAGAATTGTCTGAGTGCCCTCAGTATCTAAGTTACTTTGGGGGTTAGAAAGAAATGTCTAGGTGAATATTTTATTAGCCCATAAAATACCTAATTAAAGATTTTCTGTAAATGACAGTATATAAGATTGGTCTGTGTAAGCTTTAACTTGCTTTGAAAATGTCTTTTTGTTACAGATGAACCATTCCAGACCCTGAGAATCAATTCACTTTATCATTAACATCTCACAATAAATCCAAGCCACAGGCTTTGTATACTGAAAACAGGTATCTGCTAAGTACAGATAGACTCTACTAAAGCAAGGATGGGCAATAGAATGATTCTTGCTAATAAACACCTTGAACCTTAAAGTATGCCAATTATACTTCGAAGGGATAAACATGGAAAACTCCATTGGCTCAATTTTAGAAATGAAGTTCAGGTTAACATATATTCTGAGTTGACTTAGCTGGAAATAATATCTCCTGTAGTTAGGTAATTCTACATGCCTGCCAGCTCTTTCAAAATACCCCCTTTTTTTTTAATCCACATATAATTCCCCCCACACACACTTCTTTGATATTGAAAATGGTGTTTGGGACAAAAGGGGTTAAACTAAGTAGACACATTTGTTCTATTCCTTCTAACTGAAATAATGGATAATATTTCTATGGTATCTTTAAGCCTTAGTATTATGCTCTGTAACATATATTTTTTAACATCAAAGGCTCTATTTCTTGCCATGGACCACAAAGTTTGAAAGAATGTAACTGTCAAACTACATTAATGAGTTAATATTTACTTTATTTAAACTAATCAAAAACATAAAATCTAGCAACCAATACAAATATCAAACAGCAATAAAACTAGTATTCAACTTTCTCATTTAATTAGATGGCTGCTATTTAAGTTAATTAATATTCCCTTTAAAAAGATTGGAAATAGTTCTCACAGGTCATAAACTCTCTCCTTGATTATTAGTAGTCTTTAAATTCCTATTCACTTAATAGAAAGACTAGTGCCACAAGCAAGGACTCTAACTCATACATGTTTTTTGTCTCAAGAACTGGGTACTTTTTCCCATCACACCATGTTATGTCAATCAATCAAAACCATTTACTTAGAGTCCCCTTAGCCAAAAGAATACATATCAAGTGGACCACAACCGTTACTTACAATGTAAAAACCATGTCCTGGTAGGGACAGAGACCCCTTATGCCATGAAGTATAAAGCTACATGGTCCCTGAAAAAAATTAATGAATCTTCATATTTGCCATTAAAAAATACTCCAATTTGAAAGGAGGTATCTAATGACATACACACACACACACACACACACAGAAGAATGCACATATATTTTTAATATCACTAAGTTACACTTTAACACTTCACTTCATATTTACATTTCCTGGAAACTGGTACAGACTGGACCAAATTATTTCTGAGAATCCTTTTAACTCCATGCTTAGTATTATCTCATAAGTAAGTGCCCAGATATCAAAATATCAGAATACATGAAGTTAGAAAACAGGTATTAATCAATATTGGGACCATTAACAGGAAATGTAGAGGAAAAAAACATATTAGGAGTTCAGTGCTCCCAATGTGTCTAAAATCCAGTTGCTATGCTGCTCAGATCCAGAGTGGGATGTTAGATAATTATGGTACTGGCAGCACAGTAACAGGAGCAAGAAGGCTCACCCGTCAATGGAATCTTCACTCTTCACAAAAGCCTCTCAACCCACACAGCTAATTAGCAGAGGGTAGAAATGGATTGAGGAAAGAGAACAAAATTGCAACAATGACGGAACATGTTTCCATTCACCTTTCCAGTGAATTTGCTTTTAAGGAAAATGCCACAGTATATATCACATGAATTTTGACATAGTAGCAAATAGTCTCATTGCCTGCAAGGTCTAAGTTACTCTCAAATAGTAAATACAGTGCTGAAGGAATCACAAGTCATTGAAACTACTGGGGTACCATTCAGCTTATCTGTACAAAAGAATTAAAGTTTTGGAGAAAACAGAATGTAGAAAAAACATTTCAACAATAATGCACCCTAGTGACCTCAATGAATTATGGCAATGCTCTTTTGTAAGTGCTTATTTTTTTCCCTGAAAGACTGAATAAAGTCCCCTTGCTTAATTAAATCACATCGCATTCCTAAACATGTAAAACATACACGCATGTGAGAATCTGATTGAAAAACCATGATTAAAGCTCTCACACACAACCCTGAGATCACCAATAAATTTAATATAAGTTATAATCAGGCTTCCCAGTTTTCCAGTCCTCTGCCCCCAACTACTTTATGTCTTATTTTAGGGCAATGGTTTGGTGCCATCTAGTGAAGCACAGAATGCATCTTTCTATTAACACATGGTTTTGAGGCTTTGTGTTTAACGGAAATATCAGTAGCATTCAAAACTTGAGGTCATAAGTAATGAAACTTGGTTTACCATCTTTATCATGTTTATGCCAAACTCACTTTTAAGAGAGTAACCAAATTGTGGTATAGTCTCACTTGCACATTCAACTAATATTTATTGACCCCCAATGCGTTTTGCTAGGTATTTGTTGATACAAAGATGAGTAGCGGACCATCTCCACTTACTGTACAGAATATTGAGTTTTAGTGAGGTCAAGCACATAAGCCGATAACTACCATTTAACAGACACACTATTGTTTAGAGGCACTATGCCAGCCATTTTACATGTGTTAG